ATCCTCAGCCATTTACTGCCAACTAGCATGCTAACTACACTAAACCTGGTGACATGTGACCATTAAACCTCTTTAACTTCAGCATGTTGGCATTGTCATTGTTATTTGAGCATGCTGGCATCACACTAGTTAGGTCCAGCCTGACACAGCTGCTGGCACAGCTGCAGATGATTTGTCTTGCTAATACAGGGCCTTAGAGAATCGTCTGTTTTCTTACCACAGACTGGAAACAGTTAACCTACTTGATTCAGTGACATATTTCACAAAGCCTTTTCGCTGGTTGATGGGTAGTATGGTACCCACTGCAGTAGTAAGTGGGTTTGTTTCATAAATGCCTCTCCCTAAGGAATAGTATCTATGAGGTTATTCTTGGAACTAGTAAACAGTAATAGAGGACACTTCTAGCACTGTTTATGCATCATTATCCAAACAAGTCCTTAGGCAGCAAATATTATTGTTTAGGTCAGTCTCTACCCTAGACTGCAACTCACAGGACTTCTAGGGGCAGGCTTACTAGACCTTTTTCATTGTGGTAACTGTCACTGACAAACATACCAAACTTTGTCATAGAAACAGTCATTAACATACAGTTACAATTATAGAAACATCACAGTTTCATCAGGTTAAGGCACAAACACTGCTTGGTTAGGTTTAGGTTTAGTTACAATAGCCTTTGTTTTCATAGTAACAATAACAAGCACAGTTAGAGTTATGGAGCAGTCATGGATAGAAAACAATGTTTCACACTTCTGTTGGTGAAGTCCTACTTTTTTGACCAATGCATCTGCCCCAACCTTCTCCTAATGTGGACTTTGTCACTCTATCCTGTGCACCGCTACCTAGCTTCCTCCTTGTGTCATAATTACTACCATCGCTGGAGGTCACCTAACTACTGCATAACACATTACTGTTGGTCATAATAACCTGCTGGCAGAATTGACTTATAGCCTACACATACATCAGAATCTGTCTATCTAATCTAATTTGACTCATAGTTCTAAAGCAGACCTTTCTTTGTACCAATGGGAAATGCTAAATGTCCTCCCACTATAAATCACTGGGAGGTCATGTGTTTTCTTCTTGTAAAAGGATAGGTGTGTTTCTTGCCTCCGGGCTTGTAGTAGCAGTAATAATAAAATCCTGCACACCCGTCCCACCTCTGGGATCTCCTAGACTATATCAGGGATGATCTATTGATGTGATGAAGCTTTGAAAAGCGTACAGTGTGGTCTTCGCAGGTGTTGCCTCTAGTTTTGCTAGCGTCACTCAAAATTTCTTTAGTCATACAAAGCAGATTAAGCGCCGAGTCCCTTCCATATGTCTCTGAAGCTTGAATTAAGTCGGTTTGGAACATCTGTATTTTCCAAACTGATAGACCTCCAGTTTGTGTAATGTTTTCTGAATAGCTATCCAGCAGATGACTAAAAAACAGCTTGAAGTGAAAATGCTAATTGATTAAGAAATGGTGTCTTATGGTGAACTGTGTCAGATCATTACCAATTTTCCACTAAGCTCTGTGAACACAATGAGCCAAGGTTTGGATCCCTGCCTGCAGCTGCTACAGACACAGCCAGAATGAAACAACTGTATGCACGAATCACAGTAAAAACTTACTGCTGCACTTTCATCTGTCAAAAGAAGAATTGTGCGGACACTTTAAGGCTGTTAGGCTAAGACGTAGATGAAGTTAAAGAAAGCCTGACAGAAAGAAAGAAAGAACCATACACTACACCCAGTCAGGTGCATCTTGTAATGCACTGAATGCCCCCTCAGTTCCATTCTACTATTTTTTCCCTTCCCCGTTCCTGTCGCTGCTTGTCTGGATGCGTCTGACTCCAGAGAGTCCAGCTGTTTGTGCCCTTCCAAGTAGTGTTTCAGCGTTTTATGACTGCTATTTGCACCTTGTATAGCCCAGTGTGTAATTTGATGACTGTGGCTATTTAGGAAAGGCACTAGTGTGACCTAATCTTCTAACATAGTTGCTTGAATACACACACGTACTTGAAGAAAGCAGCGAATGCATGTTGTTTTGTTTAAGGCCAAGCTTAAACCTAAAGACTATGCAGATTTTACAAACAAAAGACATTATGAGAAGATTATCTGTGGGGTTTGCCTGCTGTAGCTTATAAAGACAAAAGAGGAGGCATATTGCTTTGTTTATGGCAGAAACATGTTGAATTCATTGTATATATAGGACACTTGGGTTACATATGGTTTTCTGTGCAATTTCTAGT